TCACCCACAGCATATCACCCTTCAAATATCACCCACATGTCACCCACAGCATATCACCCTTCAAATATCACCCACATGTCACCCACAGCATATTACCCTTCATATGTCACCCACAGCGTATCACCTTCCATATATCACCCACAGCATATCACCCTCCATATATCACCCACAGCATATCACCCTCCATATACTGTATCACCCACAGCATATCACCCTCCATATACTGTATCACCCACAGCATATCACCCTCCATATACTGTATCACCCACAGCATATCACCATCCATATTTCACTCACACATATCACCATCCACATATGTCACCTACAGCATATCATCCTTCATATATCACCCACATGTCACCCACAGCATATCACTCTTCATAAATCACCCACGGCATATCACCCTTCATATATCACCCACATGTCACCCACAGCATATCACCCTTCATATGTCACCCACAGCATATCACCCTTCATAGGTCACCAACAGCATATCACCCTCCATATTTCACTCACACATACCACCCTCCACATATCACCATCCATATATGTCACCCACAGCATATCACCCTTCATAGGCCACCGACAGCATATCACACTCTATATGTCACCCTCTGTCTTTCAGGACAGTGTTTGAAACCTGAATCATCCTTGGAACATGTTAATTTAAGGAACTCATTTGTTATAAATAAAGAAAGCTGTTTTGAGGCTCAGCAGGTCAGAAGGTGTAAAGAAAGATTAAGACTCTGTTAGAGGTTGTTTCCTCTGTGAAGCAGTACAAGTTTTATCAATGTTATTAATTAGCCCTCCATGTTTCCCTACTTGCCGTCAAATTGTCCAGCTGTTTACTCCCGCACCATGTCTGGCTGTTTTATCATCACACACGCTCAGCGTGATGTTCCGTGTCACATCCTCTCCACCCGTTTCTCTCTTAGCAACAGGCGGTGAGTCACTGTCCTTGTACTCACATGTTCAGGAACACGCGTGTTCTGTCTGCGCTTCAAACATATCTTTTCTCTCAGCTTAGTTAGAAATTTCATCCAAGGACAGTTTTATGAGAACAATAATTCATACTTTTTGTTAAACCTTTTCAATTTTGGTGGAAAATTTAAACCCTTTGATTACATTAGGGATCCTCTGTTTGTTTATTTATTTGCTTTAGGTAATTTTTTATTATTGTTTTGATTCTTCCAACCTGTTTTTCCTGTTTGTTTGAAGTTTCTGCAGTAATTTCACAGAAAAGAAATAAAAAGAAAACCAACATTTAAAAATCTAAATCAAAAAAAAAGAATGAAATTTGTTGCTTCTGTAGCATTGAACAGATAATTTTTTTCCTCGAATCAACAAGTTTTATAAAACCCTAGAACCAGTGGGTCCGTTTCAGGTCCTGTCTGGGTGCAGCAAGTTCTGGATGAATGGATGCAGGTTCTGCTGAGATGTTTTCAGAGTAAACAAGCTGTTTCCAGCAGCTGCAGGGAGTTGGCTTCAGTTACGTTTATGTTCTGTTAAACAGGAAAACAAACAGACTTTCAGGTTTACAAGAACTAGCGCTCTGCAGCTAATGGGACGTCTGCAGCTATCAGGTCATTTGCAGCTAGCAAGTTGCCTGCAGCTAACAGGCTGTCTGCTGCAAACGGGTCAGTTGCAGCTAACAGGTCACAGTTGGCTACATCTAATGGGTCATCTGCACTGCAGCTAACGGGTCACAGTTGTCTAAATCTAATGAGTCGTCTACAGCTAACGGGTCATCTGCAGCTAATGGGTCATCTGCAGCTAACGGGTCATTTGCAACTAACGGATCACAGTTGTCTACAGCTAACGGGTCGTCTGCAGCTAACGGGTCATCTGCAGCTGGTCATCTGCAGCTAACGGGTCATCTGCAGCTAACGGGTCATCTGCAGCTAACTGGTCGTTTACAGCTGACAGGTCGTCTGCAGCTAACTAGTCGTCTGCAGCTAACGGGTCGTTTACAGCTGACAGGTCGTCTGCAGCTAACTAGTCGTCTGCAGCTAACGGGTCGTCTGCAGCTAACTGGTCGTCTGCAGCTAACGGGTCGTTTGCAGCTAACGGGTCACAGTCGTCTGCTATGATTTTAAGCAGCTGTACAGCTTTGTCTTCCCCGTATCCATCAATCTACATCAGTGGCATCCAAAGTCGGTCCTCAAGGGCCTGTGTCCTGCATGTTTGAGGTGCTGCCCTGGTTCAACACAGCTGAACCTAATGAGTCCTTGATTAGTGGGTCTCTGCAGACCTTGATGGGAAACTGAGGAGGTAAATCATCTATTTGAATCAGCTGTGTTGAAACAGGGACAAATCTAAAACTTGCAGGAGGCCGGCCCTTGAGGACTGGAGTTGGTCTTGCCTGATCTACATCTTATAATTTTCTGCTTCCTGTCTGTTTCTGAAGGAATATGATCAAGTCCTTCTACAGCTCCAGTCTTCTGATGGACGTCCTCTCTGTCTTTGGAGAGCTTTCAGAGGAGGTAAGATTTCCAATCATCAAAAACACCAATGATTAAAATCAAACTCATTAATTATTAAAGAAAATAACAAATTTAATGTTAGATTAATAAAGTCTGTATTAGTTGGATTTTTTCAGTTATAGTTAATCTTCCTGATATGACAACATGATTGCTTTACTGAATATTTTCACGATGAGTCACCTTCTTCTAATGTGATAACCTTCACATTGAATTTATTTTCTTTCCTCCATGTTTTAATCTGAGATGTTTATTTTTCACAGCTGGAAATGACCCCATTTTAACCTTTAGATAATCTGAGGCTAAACAAACTTTCCTCTGAAACTGACTCATTGTTTCTGTAAAAACCAGAACTTATCTGGAAGAAGCAGGACTTTCACCTGTTGCTCTTATCACGGTCGCCTCACTGTCGATGTGTCGCCTCAGGGCTTTTAGTTTGTTTAAAACATCCTGTCGCCAAAACCCAAGAGGACTAAGGGAAACTAAGATGGTTTAGACTGAGTCCAGGGACTTCGAGGCAGAGTTCAGATTCCAATCATGTTTCGATTCAGTTCCAGCCTCACAAAGTGTTTAATGACTCCTTGTTCTGTTTGGTGGTTCAGCAGAACTGAGTTGCTGTAAGAAGCTCAAAGTTGGACTAAAAGTCAGTTCCAGTTGTTTACAGGTGAACGTCTTCTAAACAACTCTTACTGATGATTAATAAATGTTTCTGGTTGAATCTCCTGCAGAACATTCAGCACAGGAAGTACGCCCGCTGGAAGGCCACCTACATCCACAACTGTCTGAAGAATGGAGAGACCCCTCAGCCTGGGCCCATCGCCATGGAGGGGGACGAGGAAGCAGGTGGGGTCCTCTAATACGGTTCTGAAAGGGTTTCACAATCCTGCTGCTCTAAGTCCTGAAACAAAAGCCTGTTGGTGCTCGCTAAAGACCACAGAGCCGCTTCCTCCATGTGTGTACTTGTTTGTGAGGGCCACGTGCAAAATAGTTACTATCAAAGTGAGGTCTTTGATGTAAAGTTAGGATCTTGTCCTGGTCCTAACTTTTTTTGCAATAAAGACTGGTAATGGTTAGGGTTAAGAATACACTAGTAATGATTAGAGTACGGGTAGACTAGTAATGATTATGGTTAGGGCGCTTGTGTATGGGCATGTTTTGCTACAATGTGGGAACCATTTACCAGAAAAAGGTAGCATGGTGGAGACCAATGCCCTGGTCCCCTCAGGTACAGCTGCAAATTTCAGGTGGGAAGGTTAGGTTTAGGACCAAGGTGTGAATTGAGTTCAGGCTAGTTTTATGGTCAGGTAAGGTACCTGTGAGGTTAATTTTAGGGTAAATGGTCAGGGTTAAGTTATTAAATTACCAGAAAATGAATGGAAGTCAATCCATGCTCCCCACAAGTATATAAAAACAAAGGTGTGTGTGCGTGTGTGTGTGTGTGTGTGTGTGTGTGTGTGTGTGTGTGTGTGTGTGTGTGTGTGTGTGTGTGT